CTAACAAGAAAAAATTGTATCTCCCTCTCCCCAAAGTTCAAGCTGATGGGATGAGTTCATGCACATATCTCCTCTTCATGGAGGACTGGAGGAAGGACTTCGTTCTTTGATGTTTCACAATAGGCTCATTTGGTTTCAATGAGCCTTCTTGGTGGGCAGGACCTAACATCTACTGTAGGAAGCCAGCATTTTACATTAACTAAAGCTTCTTTCCTGTTGAACTTACACAATTACAGAGGAGTACAATGCAAACACTGTCACCTTATAACATGGGGCACAGATGTTATAAGTGAGATTAATACATGCAGCATCCTCCAAGCATTTCATAAAGTCTAAACACTAAGCACATTCTTATAAACTTAGCATCTCTTTTAACAATACTAACATACTGGTGAGCCACACTGGTTTCCAGCTATGTATTGGTCAGTGTTCAGTCGAGGCCTAAGGTTCTTGGCAGGAGTTGGCACCTGGTCTGCCAGCCTCACAGCTACTCTAGAGGCATGTACTTATATCAAGACATAAAAGCATCATATTGAGATTGCCCTGCCTTTAGGAGCCAGATCCTGAGCCCTGCACCAGCTTGAGGAGCTGTGCAAGAGGGAGATTCATAGAAGAGGCAACTAAACCTTGTATGTTGTAGAAACTGAACACAACAATCTGTGGACTGACTGCAGCTTTCCAAGGTCCTAGCTTTTCCCCATCACAGCCCCTCTCACAAGAAAGCACAGGCATCTTTTTTACTGATGTATTTTGAAAGCAAAAAAGCAAAATCTATACTGAATGACAATATACAAAACATTAGGGATTAATCTAGTTATATGAATCTTTGCCAGCCCCAAACTGTTTTGGACAGTAGTTCTCAAACACCTATTGTAAATGTGTTACATGGGATTTCAAAAGACAGTTTATCATTTGAATATAGCCTAGTGGCCTTCAGAATGTATATAATTTTATTTCTACTGAATATATGCCTGCTCACTGCTTTTCATTTTAATCCTCATTCTTTTTTTCTCTACCATTATCTTCATATTCTTGAGATCTAACTCAAGGCCCAGTCCTGAAAACATTATCAGTAGGGCCCTACCAAATTCACGATCCATTTTGGTCAGTTTCACGGTCATAGAATTTTAAAAATAGTAAATTTCATGATTTCAGCTATTTAAATCTGAAATTTCACCGTGTTGTAATTGTAGGGGTCCTGACCCAAAAAGGAGTTGTGTGTGGTGGAGGGATGCTGCAAGGTTATTATAAGGGGGGTTGTGATACTGCTACCCTTAATGCTGCGCTGCTGCAGGCTGCGACACTGCCTTCAGAGCTGGGCAGCTGGAAAGTGGTGGCTGCTGGCCGGGACCTCAGTTCTGAAGGCAGAACCACTGCCAGCAGCAGTGCAGAAATAACGATTTCATGGTATGGTATTGACACCCTTACTTCTGTGCTGCTGCTAGCGGGGCACTGCCTGCAAAGCTGGGCGCCCGACCAATAGCTGCCACTATTCGGCCATCCAGCTCTGAAGGCTGCGCAGAGATAAGGGTGGCAATACCATGATCCCCCCTAAAATAACCTTGTGACCCCCCTACAACTCCCTTTTGGGTCAGGATCCCCAATTTGAGAAAGTCTGGTCTCCCCTGTGAAATCGGTATAGTATAGGGTAAAAGCACACAAAAGACCAGATTTCACGGGGGGAGACTAGATTTCACGGTCCATGGCACATTTTTCATTAATTTGGTAGGGCCCTAATTATCATGGTAGCATTCACTATAGTCAGTCTAAAGAACTCACAGTAGTAATCATTACACCCAATAGTATTTGCAGGAGCAGGCACTTAGATTGTAAATGTTAGGGGCAAGGATCATGGTCTTTTTAATCTCTGTAAAGCATCAGGTAAAATGATGGTGTAATAATAATAATAATTAATAAGCAAACTGAAAAAGGATTATGTGGCACACTGATTTATATAGCAACATAACTTCCTATGTGAACATTTGGGTAAAGTATACATAGGCTCAGTGTAAGTATTACATTGATGGTAAACATAGAATTCTGTTTGGTGTGCATACAGCTGTTTAGAGCTCTATCCTGCAGCCCTTACTCATCCAGGATTGGACCCTAAAAGGGTTGTAGATGAAAGATTGTTTGAAAGATCATTCTACAGTACACTAGATCTTACTATTTTTGCTAAGTCATTCTATCAAGAAAGGCAGCTTGACTTTTGTATCAAATCAATGGTGCTTAGCGGGGGTTGTTTTTTCTGTTTGATTTAGATGGAGAAACTCCAATCATACTTCAGCCGACAAATGCAAATGAGAAAACTCAACTAATTGGAGATGGCCATCGCAGCTATCACACAGACTCATAAAGCAAGAGCAAGTACAGTCTGATTGCAGTTTGCTCTCTAAGTAGGAATGTCACAAAGAGGGTTCAGAAAAGCTAATTGAAAAGCACTGTAATTTTTTTCCATATTTGTATTTGATTTTTAAGTTAGGCAAAGATAATTTGAATGTAATTTCCTGTGGACGCAGACTCTTTAACTCATGGGGCCTTCAAAATGAACAGTCCCATCCTCTGTGTTCTGCACTGAGATACTTACCGTTAGCATACTGTTATACTGATTAGCATATTGCCCTTGAAGGGGGTTAACACTTTTGAGCTCAAGCTATCCCTTCAATACAATAATATTCTTCTCTCTCATCTCCCCTTAAATGGAGCTCCCTTTCCTCACCTAAGCAAAGACTTTCCCTGATTAGGGCTTTGAGTCCACTCAAGAAGGCACCAGTTCTGTCATTGTCTGACAATGTAATGTTCTTAGTTTGCCACACAGTTTTAGGGTAGAGACCATTTATAATGCTATTGCTTCCTTTGAGGAAACGATGCAAGTGTTTTCAAGAGACAGCAAAGGAACGGTAGGTATCAGAAAGGGTCTGACTTTGCCAAAGAGGGAGTGTTGCATGACAGCACTAGTCTGCCTAGTAGACTGAAGCTTGCTGGGGATGGGACCAGAGCAGTAAAGAAGCTGAGTCAGCTGTTCTCTGATTGGCACAGGGCATGATTACCAAACCCAAGAGCTTAACAGTCAGAAGGCAGTTCAGCTTAAACCCAGGAGACTAATCTCCTAATTGAAATGCACATGATCTCTGTGTCTTGATTCTGTGCATGTGCATTACAGCACCTGCACACGAGCAGAAGCAGGAGACCGGCAGGAAAATATCACACAGATGTGGATGGTTGATGCTCCCTATTTGCCAGTTGTAAGACTTGGCAGCAGCATCTCTCCCTCATCTTGGACTGACCAATCTGAGACACATATCAAAGTTCTGTTGTTGTTTTTTTTAATTGGGAGTATGCCTGTGACCTCATGCAACCCTTGGCTCCTCAAACTCCCTACCTTTCGGCTCCCTAACTCCTTTGGGATGGGATGGAAGATGACCCTCAGCCAAGTCAACAGACAATTGCCTGCCTGCCTACTTATTCCCCTTACTGATGGCTTTATACTTGTTCTTTCCCAACTGTCCTACTGACATGCAAAAAATGGGCTGAGTGGTGGGGTCAGGAATTGACAGGAAGAGAAGGAGGTAGTCATGCTGAAAGGACAGGAGGTAGCTTCCTGGCAGAGGGAGGCAGAGCAAGATAGAACTTGCTTCTCTTAATAATCTTGCCTTGATCCAGTGACCATTTCTCCCACTCTCTGCTTTGCCTCAAGTCTATAATACATGTATTGCACTTCAAATCATATAATTATTACCCAATCAGGTTTAAATTGTATTCCAGAAGCAGGCTTTCTTTGCTTTGTTTAACCAGCACACTGTTGTAAGATATTTCCAGCCCTGATTCCATGGTACTGACACGTCTTAGACATGTAAACCATTCTGTATAGACAAATTTCGGGCAAGCTGTATGTTAATAATAAATGTGTCCTTTAATACACTTAAAGTTCCATTTTAAGTCAAAATATAGTCTTTACTAGCAGTGTACTGCTGCACAAAACTCTTGTGGTTGAAATTGTAATGTATGAATGTGTAATTTATGAATGTCTCATCAGAGAGACAAGAAAATATTGTATGGTTTTAATTTAAAATCTAGGGTCTGATTCTTCTCTCTTCACTGAAGCAAATGAAGTACATCTCTTTAGAAGGCAATGGATTTATACCAAGGTAAAGCTGGAGCAGGTGGGAGGAGAATCAGACCCCTAGTTTGTAAGAGCTAAAGCACTAGCTCAGAAATCTCAAACTTAGCACTGCGCTGGTTTGACATATTAGCTTCGTCCTTATGCAGTTTATATTCTCTTTACTGAAAATATTCCATCAATCATTGTCACACCCCAGTTCTGTGCATTTGCTATTGTGGTTCCTCTTTTCACAATTCAGTCTTGGGGAGGATGTAATACGCTACTAAATTATAGAAACCAGGGAATATATTTTGTTTATCAAAAGTTTAAATGATTTCTATCTTAAAAATTGGATTCTGTAGTTGTGAAACATTTTCTTCCTCCTCTTCCCACCTTTCACATCAAACGCCATTCAGCTGCAGCTAAATATAAAGCTAAAATCAGTAACTATAATTCCAAAGTCATTAAATACTCCTACCTTCTTTAAAGCTCCTTTAAAGTTCCTATGATACACGGATATTTTAAAACCCCTTAATACTCAGTTAGTATATATCTCCATAAAGCTGTGCAGGTATTATAGCTACTTCTACCCTTGTCATCAGAGATAGTACTCCAATTTACTTCTATCAGGCCCTATGCTACCTGCACAAATACAGCACATACTTACTTCCCTTGCTCTAATGCGTCAAGTTCTGTCCCAAGGTATGCACATTCAACTTCAACTGATTTTAGTGGGAGATGTATATGCATATATCTTATGGATAGAATGCAGCCCACTGTATTTATATACATTCATACATCATCAAACATACACACACACATATCTGTGGGCCTTATGTTCTACTCCTTTACACTGATTTTATGCTGGTGTAACACTACAGAAGCCAATATAAACCCACTGTGCTGGAATGGAGAATCTGGCCCTGTACGGATACATATTACACATGCTGTGTAAATGATTTTCTAAGTACACTTTTTCAAATTTATTTCAATTATTTACTGTGAAAGTGTGAAAATGCTAGTGACTGTTTCCTGTATAGAGTTAAATGTGAAAATGTATCCAGTTAAAAGTCTAGATGAAAGTTACACATGGTATATAAAAATCATCTTACAGGTGCTGCTCCCATAGAAATCAATGGGAATTTCACCACTGATTACTATGGTTGCAGCAAATCAGACCCAAAGGTAATAATTCATTGATTTCAGTGGACTTTGGATCAGGCACTCAGGCCTAGATCTTCAAAGGTATTTATTTTTATTTTATTTAAACAAGGGCTAAAGCCCAGACTGGGAGTTAGGCTCCTAAATACCTTTGAAGATCTAGGCCTGAGTGCCTGATCCAAAGTCCACTGAAATCAATGAAAGATTCCCAATGACTTCAAAGGGTTTGGGCTCTTGGCTTAAATCCTGTAATTTTTACTACATTCTTAATGGAGAAAGGATGCCTGAGAAAGAATGTAGGCCCCAATCCTGCATTGTGATCCACACAGACAACTGCTGCATCTGCAGGGAGCCCCACTGTCTTAAGTGGGGCTCTGTCTGTAAGGATCACTATGCACTGTTACAGCCTTTGTCAAAAAAAACCCCCAGCAACTCTGAATACAGGCTTCAGGATATGTCTCTGAAAGAATGTGGCTTTGCTAAAATGACACTATTAGACTGATAAAAACTATGGTCAACCTTTTTAAAGTTGGTTGCCTAAATCCACATTTAGGCAGTTAAATAAAGGCAATCTGATTTTCAGAGGTGTTGGGCACCTGTAGGTCCCAGTGAAGTCAGAGAGTCTGCTTATCTGAGGACATAATAAAAACTGAATAAGGATGTCCAGATTTGGTCCATAAATATGAATTTAATTTTCTTTTGCTTTTGTTTGCTTTTAGAAGGTGTTCTAAAGTGGAAACAATGATTACATGATTTGCTTCCATGTAAAGTCCAGTTGAAATACTATTAATCTTTTGAAAGCATATAGTTGCAAATATTTTGTATGAAAAATACTATGTATTTGAAATCTACCTTTGCTGTCAAACACTCTCTGAATAATAAAGACTCCCTATGTGTAAGAATTACAGCATACCTTTATGTTTCTACCCTAAGAAAAAGTTGTTCTAGTAACAGCCAAAATAACCAATAAGATCCTGATCCATACAAAATGTCTATGGTGACTTTCCAAGCTGGTAAATTCTAAAAGAACTTTGTTTTCCCACGAGGAGCTACTTGGCAGAAAAGTTGGCATGTGGCAAATGAACCTACCCAATGCAGTAAAAACAAAACAAAACAGAACTTCAGCTGCAAATGCCTTCTTTTTTCTACAGTGCAGGATGCTACTTATCTAGATGGGGAAATTTGGCAAATTTCCCCTGTAGACAATCACTTAGATTGCTTAAAGTTCTCACCTACACTGTGCATCATGAGGCGTTACTCCAGCTCTTTCCTGAGTTACTGGTTGTAGGGAGTCAATGGCCCATGCAATAATGCTTGGGATTGGCTGGCAGAATCCCTCAACGTTTTTCTCATGAAAAGAGCCTGAGTAGTCAGGTGGTGAAATCCTGGCTCTATCGAAGTCAATGGCAAAACTCCTATTGTCTTCAGTGAACAAAGGATTTCACATAGGGAACTCTGCCCTTGTGAAGGTGGCAGCACAAGATGCCAAACATTTCTATGCCTGCTAAAGTGAGGGATTTTTTTCCCCCCTACAATGTTACTTAGTCCAATCAAGTGATTGGAAATTACCCGAGCAGCAACTGTTTTGGCTGGATCTATTATATGAGATCTGTTCTATTGACTGTTTGGAGAATGATTCAGACCCAGGGCACACAAAACAGAAAATGAGAGAAATATTTTTAAAGATTAAAATCTAGCAAAAACTTAACCTGCTGTTTAAACTTTTTGTGCACTTTACTCCCCTGTAACATAAATACATAATAAAATAAACTGTTTAATAGGAGACATTTTTCAAACATGCCTGTGGGCTTTAATTTCATTATTTTACCTTTCCTTAAGATTTCATATCCAAGATATTGATGTAATTTTAGTCAAGAATTTTTATGTTTTTTTCCCATTTTCAGAATTAGAGCCATCAAGGAAGATGGAATGACAAAACATATGCACAATTAAATATATACTTGGCATTGCTGATTTATTGTATAAAATTCAAATGAAAAAGCTGTCTGGTACATTGATGCTAAGTGGCAAGGAAGACCAAAGCGTGGGTGTAGCACATCTGTAGTTTTTTTTTCTCATGCGCTATTAGGTCT